CCCCCCCATTATGTAAGAAACAAGTGCCTTTCTGACATCGTGGCAGGCTGCCAGTCTTCACAACTGATTCTACTCTGAAACTCTCTCTGCATGTTTCCATTTGCATACGGCTCTACCTTTGATTCTCAGGTCTCAAGAAAAAGATACCAGTGGCCACTGGTCTTGTGAAACTGCATGAATAGCTTGGGCAAGGCACATAAAGGCAGCAAGCTGCTTTTTTCCCATGTATCTCATGTTGCTATAGTGCAGCTATAATGCAGCTATAAATGCATTTTTCCACATACATCAGTTTAATGATTAAGGGACTATGACAGTCTTATGAATGGGAAGATGTTAAATTATTAACCTGAGCCTATGGAGTCTTAGTGACTTGAGGGCTGTTTGAAGTGGTGTGGTAGGCTGTTCAGTTATAAGTATGCCTGGCATCTGTAATGTACTGCACAGCTTGGAACAGTCTCAGCTCTGGGAATCGCCTGAATTTTCAGACTCTTGGACACAGATAGGTAGATCCAAGCAGAGGAAGGCCATCAGAAAGAAGTATGAAGCAGTTGAGCACATGGAGATTGAGGGAGGGAGTGGTAATCTTCTGGAAAAGAGCAGTAGCTAGATCCAAACCCTTGAAATAAAGTACCTCCATTACTGAATTTGAGCAAGAAGACTGACTTTTCCCTTCTGAACTAAGATGTGCTTATTGAACTATTTGCTGGGAGACTTTAACTGAAAATGTTCCACATGGCCTTATTCTGAAAAATGCTAATACTCCAGTACAAATGTCCGTAAGGGAACTGGGCAGGGTAGTGCACTTTTGTCCTGTTTTCACCCTTTTCCATGCAACCTGTGTATCTAGTGTCTATGAACCATATTCACTGTGTCCTCAATGAGCAAAAACACATTATTTGCACCACTCTTTCGTATGTACCCTCTCTTCCTTCAGAGGAGAGCATGCAAGATGAACATTGTTCTGTGCTGAGCTATCTTCTCAAATCCAAGAGATCCACACTCCTGCTAGGAACACAGGCTCTGAGCTGTCGTGTGCTTAATTTCTGGGCTCATTGCATGGTACAATGTGCTCATTCCTTTTGGACTGAGAGGGTGAAGATACGGAATATTAGATATGAGGTAAAAGTTCTAGGCAAAAATTCAAAAGGGACA